CAGGCCTCCCTCCCCCCTTGTGTGAGCCCTGTCGGGGCTCGGGAAGCTCCGTGTACCCCACGGGGGCTTCCGGCCTTTGCCCTCTAGAGCAGCAGTTAGGTCTTTGAGCAGGAAAAGCCGTGTTAGTCTCTTTATCCCAGCGAATCCGGCCTGCAGGTGCTGTGCGTCTCGCCGCTTTTCAGGAGTGTGGCACGTAAATAAGGAGCTCACAGTGAGAGTGAAACCCTGCCGCGTTTCCTGTCCCAGCAAAGCAGTTCTGTATCTCAGATCGAAACAGGAGTGTCTCGTTCCTGTCAAATAATTATTTTCTGTGTGTCTTAGGAAATTCGTTGCAAGGCTTCCGGACAAGGGTAAGAAGATCTCCGAGTTTGCAGAGAAGCTGAAGCTTGCCATTTTACAAGAAGAAGAATTAGCAAGGACAGCCGAGCTGTTGTCTGCTGTTAGGCTGGAGTTTCAGGTGAAACAGGATGAGATGAATACAAGCAAACAGCAAGTTGTGCTGAATGAGAACAGACTAAGCCATGAAGATTCCACAGTCTTTAATGAAAACTCTAATACTAGAGAAGTTTCTGAGATTTCTTCCCGCATGCAGGAGGCTGAATGTATTGCACAAGATGCCACAGGTACAGCTCTGGAAAATCAAAGGACTCGGAGGAAAAATGATGAAGTAAAGACTGTTACAAAAGATCAGGATCTGCTTTGTGAAGTTGTCTCCAAGTTGGGCACAAGCAGTCATCTGAACAATGGTCAGCAGGTATCCCAGAGCAAATCTGAGGATGGTACAGAAAGTGCAGGTGCTTTGGACAACAGTAAAGACGAGTTGGTTGATGCTTTTCAAAAAGTTACAATTGTAGGTGGGGATGATAGTGAAAAAGTATTGGAAAAAGAGCAGGATGTGGCTCCACATAAGGGGAATATCTTTGGAAGCCAGCACCCTAAGACTCCACATTATATTGAAGTTCTAGAGTCTAGAGCCAAGAACCCAGTCCCCCAAAAAAGCAAATTTAAAACAAATGTGTAAGTATTACAGAACAAAAAAACCTTTTGTGAAATACTTGACTTGTATGAAGTTGGAAATGGCACAGAATGAGCATGGTGGGTTTATTTTCTCGTGATGATCAAAGAGATTTAAAGTCATTTGACATGCAAGGTTAATATGTTGGCTCTGTTCAGTGCCATGGAATATTGAGCAGTGGTCTCACTGTAGCCATTGAAAACAATTGTCATGAATCTTCACAGAGTTTTATAGCATACAAAACAAATAATTGGTAACACTTCCTTGTGGATCAGTTCTAGAAGTTGTAGAACTTTTAACAGCAGGTAGCTTTTAGCTTTTCCTGTGCCTCCAGAGAAATGGCAATTCATACTGTACTTCGTGTGACAGTTTATAGTCATGTAGCAGTTTCTACTTCGTTTGACTCCCAAAACGTTGCCATCTCATGCTTGCTAATTAACTGCCGTGCCTTTTCTGTTCGTTATCAGGAGTGATCTGTGATGGTGTCTCTCTACAGAGAAACCTTTTTAGTTTTGCTGAGTGCTGCTTGTTGTTCGTTTGTGGTGTCATAACGCTTTCAGATTTTCTCTCAGCTCCAACAAGTTCAAAATAACAGGTCTTGGAACTGAAGTTATTCAAGCTTCAAATGCTGCAAATTTTGGGTCACAACTTTTATGTTTCATCTCTTTCAGATTATCAGGAGAGCAGAATGGGTCGTTGCGTGGTTCCTCACCCAGTCAGTCACCTGGGGCATCTGGGTCTCCAATTACTACTGAAGAAAGACGACTTAGAGATAAGAAGCATTTAAATGAGATCACAGCAGCTCGGCTGCCCCCACTTCACCATTCTCCTACTAAGCTATTATCCATAGAGGAATCCATAGCAATCCAGATACAGCAAAAAGCAGCTTATGAGGTACGAACTCACAATTTGGTCTGAAAAGTAATTATATAATTGGGATAACTTTTGAAAAAGAAAGCATAAAGGGGTCTTTTCATACTGATGAATTTGATGATGAGATGGGCAGACTTTGAGAAAAGGTTCTTTTTCTTGTATTTGATTCTTTTAATGATATAATTAATATATTAATCCCTTCTGAAACTGTTATTCCTGCATTAAGCAAAATCTGGTGTTACTCTTCGTGCGTTGATACACTAACCTCATTGCACTCGCTCTACCTCAGACTAGAAATAAGTTTTTGAAGAGTTTTTGGCCTCTGCATAAATGAAGGCCTACCAGTATTTGTTATTCTTAAAATATGCAAGTATCTGTATTTGCCTATATTTGTGCTGTGCTGGAAGAATCAGAGTTCTGAGGTTCTTCAAGTTCTGTCGTAATGGGTTTCGAATTTGACTTTCCAGGTAGTGCCAAGCTAATGTTTTAATTAGATGCTATTGTAAAAGTGTTTGTTGCTCCTTCTTGTTTTAAAAGCACTTGCTAATTTAGTCATCTTGACACTTTAAGAGAGGTAACTTATTCGGAAAAAGGAAACAGATTTTTTGCTGAGGTTCCTGAATGTCAAGCATTGCTATTGCTCCATGGTTACTGTGCACAGCTGTGCTCTCTTACATGGACTGATTCTCTTCTGTTAAAGCCCACGTTAGTGCATCACAGGTGAGGACTGCCACATGAGGAATTTAAGCTCTTACATCTTCAAATATTAATAGCACAGTTACGTTCATGTGTGAAGAGAAAGCTGAAATTTCTTTGCTTGTTATGTTTAAGTAAGCCCACTCTGGAGTTACTGATACCACTATGTCAAGTTTATACTTCAGTATATTATTTTTTTCATGACCAGGATAAAACTAACAAATGAATGCTTTTTCTAACTTGTGTCCTTTTTCCTTTCTTTTATAGGAAATGCAAGCCAAGCTTGCAGCACAGAAGCTTGCAGAGAGATTGAATATAAAAATGCTCAGGTTTGAACCAGAGGGGGTTTTGCAATACAGAGACGTAAGAGATGAAGATTATTCTTCAGCAGAGGACTGAATTCAAGAAGGGATGTCTGTGGATGAGCCACGTAACTGATCTTTATGCAGTACTTCTTAAAACCCAGACCTGGATATTGAGAGTGCTTTATCTAGTAATTTTTTTCTTTAAATGTTAACATTACAGCGATGGGCAGGTGTCAGTATAAACCTCATAAATATACATGTTACTAAGTGGTAACCCCGGTGTTATTTGGGGACTGGTTTTTGAGCACATGGGGCAGTTAATCCTTGTGGAGTGCCCCATAGTTCTCAACTGCAGCAAAGTGAGCTCTTTAATACACAATTTGCGGGATGTGATGAATCACCAAGAATAGGTTTCTTCTGTGCAGAAATGTGGTTGCACAGGGCATTGGCACACATGTCCATAAAGTAAACTAGAGAGCTCACATGTATGAAAGCTCTTGTCTTGTATAAATGTGTGATACTTCTTTTATCTATTGAAGATTATCTTGCTTTTACCCTATGATGAAAATACATGCCCATACATGTACAGTAAATGAGTGGTAGGCTGCAAGTTACCTTCTTGTCACAAGAGAGCTTGTTTCTGTGCCTGCACCTTAGAGTAACACTTTCTGTCCTTATGTTATGGGTAAATGGGTAAGAATTTCAGATTATTTTGTAACTCAAATTCTGTTTGGGCTTTAAGGGACTCTGCTGTTTCATTTTTGGTTGTTACTGCAAAGAACATCAAGACATCAAGTTAATCTGAAGACTGATATTTTTATTAAAGGTCTTGGTGTTTTTCTATATTTTTACACACTGCTTTAATATTTTGGAATACGATTTTTTTTTTCATAGTCCAAATCTGTAAATTAAGAGATCCGTCCTCTGGTGGCATTAGAGAAGATGTTCTGTATGTGTTGAAGTTTTAGCTGTTCTTCAAAGATAAAAGAAATATTCTTCCTTACAGTAACATTTTCTGCCTTTTTAATATGAATTTTGGAAGATAAAGAACACATCTGAGAAGTATTTCACAAGGGTACTCCACTGTTGACTAGGATATTGCAAGTCTAGTGTGAGTTCAGTTCTAATAAACAAACCTCAGAGATGCCTTGCATAGCCTGGTGACACCTGTTTTCCAAGACACAGCAGCGGCTGTGTCTGCAGGGTGGCTCTGTGCACAAGGCTCTCCGTGGATATGTACATATTCCTGCAGGAATGGCGTCTCTGGAAACCAAGGGAGCTCTACATGCGAGTCATTCAAAAAGCTGCACAACACCATTTAGAAATGGGGGGTGAAAGTCTCTGCAACGCCTGGAGTGTACACAGCACTTTACTAGCAGGCAGTAATTCCAAATGCTCCACAACCTCTCCCAGGCAGTCCGTGTGGCTCAGTCCATACCCTGACAAAGCAGTTTGACAGGTGGAACTGCTGCTAAGCCAATACATGGTATTTTTTGACTAGCTCGTCGTCTGCTTATCTGTCATCCCTCCTATAGTCCTGTACAGGAGTACTCCTATACTTTTCCCTGTCACAGGCTTCTTGTTCTCATTGTTTACTGCCTTCTCATCAGCTGTCTGCTCTTCCCTTTTCCTCATAAGACTTACCTCCTGTCACTAGAGTAAATTCACACCCTGCGTCCCTGCACCACCCATTCCCTTTTATATGACATATCACTGCTTGTGTCTGCATTTAACTTCTGCCAAGTGTCATGCATCCTCCTGCTGTTTTCTCTTGATTTCTGTTACTCCATCTAAATACCAGCTGTGCACCTGGGTACATTCTCAGCCACTGCAATATCTCACAGAGACCTGAATGTCTTCATGTTTTTGCCACAGCTGCCCTCCTGCTGAGGCTTTCCTTTCTTATTTCATATCTTGTTTACAGACTGTGCAGGGTTTGCCGCCTCCAGGCCTTGTATCTTCCTTCTTTACTTTTTACTGCTTTTTCCTGGTTTGTTCTACCTCCTAGTATTTAATTTTCCTTCCTCTTTTCTGTGCTCCTGCTCCATCCTCCCAGCTTCTCACTATGACTTGTCTTTGTCAGCACTATTTTTGGCACATTCAGTCATCATTCATCCCTCGGCACCCATGTTGATGACCCGTCTGATCCTCAGCTGTATGTATTTCAGCCCTCAGCAGAAAGGTTTCCTTCAGTGTGTGGTTCTAACTCTGTAGGCCAGTGGAGGGCTTTTCTTTTGTGGCTGTGATTCATCTCTCAAATCATCATTGTTCATGCTACCACCTGCTTGTCCAGCTGGGTCTCATCATCAGTCTTCCCATTATTTTGGTCTGTTGTTGTGCTTAAGGACCAGGGGCCCCAGAGTGCATTGGCTTTCCTTTTGGTGTTGCACAAAGCATAACTTACCACTTCCAGGCCTGTTTGCATCTTTCCATCTTACTGACATGATCACTCTTGTCCCTGTCCTGGCTGTGCAGTCACGCCTTTTAAAGTTATTGTGTGTGTTTTCTCCATGCTGGCTTCTCTGTGCTGAAGGAATTTACACAAAGCTATAGAGTTAAGAAGTTGTTTTGTAGATCCCTGAAATCTAGCTCAACACAGGCTTCTGCTGGCCACTCTCTCATGCTAACTAAAATCATGATCTTCCCTTGTGCTTTTAAGGCTTACTTTTGCTCTCTAAGCCTCTTGAAGCAGGGTCAGTTTTCTTGATCTGTATTTTGATAGCATTCAACATGTTGGAACTTTGCCAGAGTGGATCCCCTAAATGGGCAGACTTCACCCTTAAGGAGAGGTGGGGCAGAATTGGTGATACCAGGTGAAGTGCATTATGTATTTGTTCCACAAGGAGCAGCTGTTCAGCACAGCGCTGGGTGAGTTCTTGGGGAGGAGAGTGTTGTGTGAATACCAAACCAAGCTTAAGGTATGAATTTTAAGTTATTTCCAAAGGGTTTGTATTACTGCAAAACTTGTAGCTTTCATGGGGATTGTTGGTCTTGGGTTCTGAGCACAGGTATGTTCTTTGAATTAGGGTTTTGTGAGTGATAAGAAGGAAAAGACTCAGCTACAATTAAGTGTTCTCCATGTTAAGGAGGATGTGCAATCCAGAAGTTTGTAAAAGGCTGGAGAACAAGAGGATGAATCATGGAATGGTTCAGTTGTACCAAGTTAAGCTGCTGATCCTCTGTGGTGTTGCTGTTGCGTATTTCACTGTTGTCCGTTTCCAGAACATTTCAAAAAGTGTGCAGAGAATTGAGGAGCTTGCTCTCTTTCCTGGGAGTGGGCTGCTAACCCAGGAGAAAATAAAGAATTGATAATATGTTTCTGAAGTTCCTTTTGTGAATAGTGTTTTTGTTTTGACCATGTAAAGTATGAAGTCAAATTTGGGGAGAAACTGGAACCTTTTGCTTCAGCGCTCCGCAAGGAAAACACTGGAGATGGATTTAGGGAACAGTTGCTATATATTTGGAAAGCAAATGGATGAGGAAAGGTCTGTAAAACCTAAATCTGGCTGGTCATACAGGTCTGAAAAATGGCATAGAGACAGGTCTTAAATGGAGAGCTGCAAGTCTGAGTGGTACAGCATGAGATGCAGGTATCTGCAGCAGCAGCTGTAGTCCCTTGATTTTTGTACTGTTAGGAGTACCTAATCCCCAAACCGCACAGAAGAAAAGCATTTTATAGAGTATCTGTTTACAGCTGTAGCCCTTCCTGAGGGACAGAACATGCAATCTGGTTTGCCACGTGTGATCTAGAGGGTTTAAGTATTTGGGAAATAACATTTGAAAGGAGAAAGACCTAAATGCTGCTTACTTAATTATTTTGTGTAGGATTAAGGGTAGAAAAGATGCATAAAAACTACTTTTCATAGTTTTTAGTTAAACCTAGCTGATGCGTCAGCAGTTCTGTTAGTAGTTTGGTGGCTTGTGGGCTGCTTCTGAGGGCTGTGCAATCAAAATAAAAGTCAGTGACTGCAAGCTCCTGGATGGAGAAATGGGGCCTGCGAATTGGGAGAATTTGAAAACCATGGCTCTGTGCTGTGGAATTTCTGAACCTGCCACAGGGACACAGTATCAGGAGTTGGGGAAAAGAATATCCAGATGCTACAGACTGATGAATTGAAACTTGAGTGGGAAGCCATGGCAAGAGCTGCTCGTGCTCCATGAGCAGCCCCAAGCAGTAGTTTGGGGGTTTCCGTATGGAACTTGCAGACAATTTGCGTACCGCAGATGCACCACAAGCTGGCAGCCTTTCACAGTCTTGGGAGGAGGTAGGACCTGACTAGCTTAAATTGTGGGTGGGAATCTGGCTGGCTGGGAATCTGGTTGTTTTGTGCAGCACCGCTGTAAAGCCAGTTCCCTGGATGCAGCAGGCTGGCTGTAATCTGAGTTGTGTACCCTGCTGGGGTTTGCCAGTGAAAATGATCAGTAGTGGGACCCTATTCAGAACATTTTTGACCTAATTTGGCTGGCATCTGACTCATCATCTGCCTTTAGCAGGTTACTGCCTGCAAGAAGTACCCTTAGGCTGGGGGAACTGCAGTGACTTCTTGGCCTTTTATATCAAGAGTGGCATTAAGGGGACAGGGAATGAGACTTCTCTGTTGGAAGAAGCTGTGACCCACCCTGTGCACTCTGCTGTAGGAAAAGATGTCTTTACTCTGCTTTGCCAGCCTTGTTTCTTTTTCAGAGCAAGAAGGAAGTGTAATTTCTCTGAAGTGTCTTATAAGGACAACTTTTTCAGGTCTTACATGGTGTGGTCTTGTTCCAGGGAGGTGCTAACTGAACTGTATTTTTCTTGAGTTTGTGGTCATGTATTGTTGCCAGTCCACTGCTCTTAGGGTGGTATGTGTGGAGATTGCCACTGAGATTTCCTGGTTTCCTATATTTGTTTTTAGGTTGTGAACTCCCACGTCCTGGGAGGAAAAGGGAAGCAGAAAAGACAGCTGCATGAAAACAACATTTGGTTTGTTGTGCTGGTTTTTTTCTTTTTCAGTAAGCTGAGGGTTGTGTTTTATTCTCATACTTCTGTGGTGCTGTGTCACTGCTGACATTGTGGCAGGCAAATGTTAGCTGACTGGTCCAAATGTTTTGCACTCACATTGACTTTCTGTGGGATATGAGTGCTTGACTCCTTTTGACTCCTTTGTAAATACTGTAATTATTATTCCATATGTATGCAAAGCTTTAGAGACATTTGGTCATCCTTTGTTTAAATCAACTGTTTTGATAATTTGGTTAT